ACATTATTATGTGTAATTAATGGCTGAATTCAAACGGGATCAATAACACATTTCTTTCGCTGTTGACTACCATTCATATTTTTTTCCAGAATTTGGTCCCATGGGTGACACCGGAAGGGGCGGGACTTCGCCTCTCTATTGGCACTGCAAACAGTTCCAATACGGCTACTTGCTACGATGGCGGCACCTTGTGGCACCTTGAGAAACCAGTGTAGTGCTACTTCTTACTTACGTGGAGTTGGATGTCCCCGTTAAGTTCAGCCGTGCTGAATGAGAAAGTGGCGACTCCATCGTTGTTGGTCGTGAGATTCTGCAGCCGGCGTGATGACCTTCTTTCACCCTCGAACAGGTACAGCGGCATGTCGGGAATGGGCGTGTTGTTGTAATGAACCGCTCGAATCTGTTGGAAAGCACAGAGTGGTATCACCGAGAATGCACCGCGTCTATAATCACAACAAAGAAGTGAAGGCCACATGCTCTTACTTTTCCCTCCACGTTTGAGCCTTCGTCATAAATCTTGGGCGTGTCGGTGAAAGACAGCTTTCCAACGACGTATGAAATAGTTATTCTCTGCTCTTGTTGCCGTGAAATACCTGTACAAGAAGCCTCCACGTTACAACAACTGTTTCATAACACGGCAGTGTAATTCTCTTTGTTCTTCATATAAATATGATATAGAATATTATATGACTTGCCTGTGCCCTCCTCTTCCACTTTGGCCCGGATCTGCAGGTCATCTCGCAGCACCTTTTGCGAAACTTTTGTGAAAGTTGACATTGTGAAGATAAACGTGGCGCAGCCTTTGTTGTCCATCTAGAAAAGAGCAATGAAATAAAATGAAAGGGCATTTCAAACTTACCCCATTTAACACCCTTGTTACTCCTTAATAAATCAACTTATAAACGGGCCATTTGTTCCGCTTTTACACGTGTAAAGTTTAGGAGATGCTTCACTCTGTGTATGCATACAAAACACATGTAACACACGTAAATACATTCACACACTTTCACACAAATGTCCAGGGGCCCCAGCAACGACACCTGAGGAACCACCTGAAGTTTATTTAAACCATGCAGGTTTTAAGAAACTTCAGCGTTTACTTCACTTTTTAAGAGCTGAAGATTGACGTCTGGGTCAACCCTTATATGCACCTTTTTTTAAGCAGAGATGAGACTGTCGCCGTAGCAAACGTACCTGCTTTGTCTCCTTGTGGCATGGGGCGACCACGTCAGGGATTCCCTGCGGATTGCTAGGGTTGATTGGATGCCTCCTATAGTAGTTATTTAGAGGTCGGCACATCTCAACTTCAACACTGCCTGGAACAGCTTGTCCGAATGTGTACCTGATGAGAAGGACATTCATTCACTCACCAAACTGGACCAGTTTTAGAATTATTTAAGAGTGTAACGGGCAAAAGAGCGCTTACTTACATCGCACATACTTCAGCTTTGATTTCCTCCTGATCGATACTTACTTCAGAGGATGCATTTAGCTTTACGTCAAATTTAGGCAAAACTGGGGACAAAATATGTTTATTAGCATTCTTGCTTCATTACAATATGGATTGAAATGGAAGGTTATAGAAAAAAAGGAACTTACCGTATTTCTCCACCTTGAAGTTGTGATATATTTTTTCCAACCCGATCGTCACAATAACTTGGTACATCCCTTCACGGGCCTCAGAGTTCAAGTCGTATGAAAGCTGCAATAGCTTACTGTTGGACGTTTGATTCAGCCACTGTCCAATCCGGTTGTTGTTAGCATCCTGTCAAATAAAAGTAAATGTGAAGAACAAGTATTTATGACAAACATAAGAACCTCATTTCTTCTTCTCCTTCAACGAGATGGGAGAAGAAACTAGGCCATAAGTTTGCTGTGAAGTTATATTTTTGCATTCTAAATCACACACTTTTACGTCTTCTAACATACTAAATAGTGTGGTAGTAAAGGTATTGGAACACACAGCATGTGTACTCTTTGTTTTCCT